CCCTCCTGTCTTCCACTGCCTCCCGCAGTTTGGTCAAACTCATGCTGGTAGCTTGGAGAACACTGTCCAACCATCTCGCTCGCTCTGTCATCCCCTTCTCCTTGCGCCCTCCATCTTTCCCAACATCAGGGTCTTTTCCAGGGAGTCTTCTCTTCTCATGAGGTGGCCAAAGTCTTGGAGCCTCAGCTTCAGGATCTGTCCTTCCAGTGAGCACTCAGGGCTGATTTCCTTCAGAATTGAGAGGTTTGATCTTCTTGCAGTCCATGGGACTCTCAAGAGTCTCCTCCAGCACCAGAATTCAATCGTTCAGATAGTGGCCCTTAATCTCATTGCACTCTCAATAAACCTAGCAACCTTTGCTGTTGTCTCATCATTTTGATCTGATAAAAGAAAGAACAATGTGGCCGCAGATGCAAACCCAGGACTTTCTCACACCAGGGAAGATTTTAGGTCTTTCAGAGACGATATGTGGGCTCATGTACCCCTCTATTCTGTCTTGGATGGACCACATCTTGTGTCCTGTGTTCAGTTCTGGACACCACAATTTAAGAAGGATGTTAACAACCTGGAACGAGTGCAGAGGAGGACGACAAAGATGATAAAGGGTTTAGAAACTAAGCCTGATGGGGAATGGTTGAAGGAGCTGGGCTGATTAGCCTGGAAAAGATGAGACTGAGAGGAGATAGGAGAGTCATCTTCCAATATCTCAATATGTCACATGGAGGATGGAGCAAGCTTGTTTTCTCCTGCTCCAAAGGGTAAGGAACCGAACTCATGGTTTCAAGTTACAAGAAATGGGAACATTCTTTCATATGTGGCGGACCTGTAAAAGGGTAAAAGAGTATTGGGAAATAATCTATAATGAATTGAAAAAAATGTTTAAAAGTACTTGTTTAAAAAAACAGAATCCTTTTTGCTGGGTATAATTCAGACGGAAATTCCCAGGTGTTAAAAAAGGTTATTTATCTACGCCACTACAGCAGCCCGTGTTTTGTTAGCCCCAAATGGAAAATGAGCGAGATCTCAACCAAAGAATAATGGCAACTGAAGCTGATGGAATATGCGCAGCTTGCAGACTTAACATATAGAATAAGAGAACAAGAAGAACATATGTTTAGAGAAGATTGGAAAATGTTTATTGAATACATGGGGGGAAATTGTGTACACCTGAAAACGTTGGCAGCATAAAGATAAATTCAGCAGTGTAAATAAGTTTGGATGGATGTAATAATCGAAGGCTGAATGATTTAGTTTATGCAAAATATTCGGGGATTTATGATATGCAAAATGAAGCATGGAAAGAGAAGAGGGGAAGTCATTGATATTTTTAAGGATGTTTAAATGAGTAATCAAAATTGCAAATCAATGGTGGGACTGCGTGAGGATATGAGAATTCTGGGACATAATATATAACAAACTCAAAAAGGGTTTTAAATTCTCCTTCAAATAAATCCAGAAGCCTTTCTGTTAGGCATTATGTCCACCCAAAAAAATTTAAAAATAACTTTTTTTATGTATGCAACCACAGCGGCCAGAATTTTAATAGCAAAAAATTGGAAAGTTGACCACCAAAATTGACTGGCAGGCGAAGATAATAGAATACAGTGGACGCTCGGGTTGCGAACGTGATCCGTGCGGGATGCACGTTCGCTACCCGCAGCGTCCGCAACCTGCAGCGCCCGCAACTTGCAGCGCCGCGTCTGCGCACGCGCAGGTTGCGATTCGGCGCATTTGCGCATGCGCAAAGCGTAATTTAGCACTTCTGCGCATGCGTGACTGCCAAAACCCGGAAGTAACCTGTTCCAGTACTTCCGGGTTTTGGCGGTCTTCAACCCGAAAAAATGCAACCTGAAGCGTCTGTAACCCGAGGCAGGACTGTATTTAGAACTTGCAAAAATGACTGAGAGATTAAGAGGAAACTCAAATCAGAAAGTGAGTAAAGATTGGGCAATATTCAAAGAATATCTAAAAAAGTGTGGTAATGCAAATCTTCTGACAGGTCTAGATTGAACCTTGAATACTAAGGAAATCATAAAAGCAAAAATCTCCTTTTGATATGTGACAGTTAAAAAATAAGGAAGTGTGAATAGACCAATAATGTGTAAAAAGTACAATGGGGTGACTCAGAAGTCAAAAGTGTGTGAGATGTCAAATGATACGTTGTTAGTTAGTGTTCATTTGTTATGAGGGTATAGTATTGGTTTGTTTGTGTTGTTTTTTATGTAGTATGTAAATTGTTCTGCAATGAAGCTTTAATAATAATTTTAAAAACCAGAAAATTTAATAAAAAGTATTAAATAAAACTTAGATCATGGCCACTGGTCCCATCACCTCCTGGCAAATAGAAGGGGAAGAAATGGAGGCAGTGAGAGATTTTACTTTCTTGGGCTCCATGATCACTGCAGATGGTGACAGCAGTCACGAAATTAAAAGACGCCTGCTTCTTGGGAGAAAAGCAATGACAAACCTAGACAGCATCTTAAAAGCAGAGACATCACCTTGCCAACAAAGGTCCGTATAGTTAAAGCCATAGTTTTCCCAGTAGTGATGTATGGAAGTGAGAGCTGGACCATAAAGAAGGCTGATCGCCGAAGAATGGATGCTTTTGAATTCTGGTGCTGGAGGAGACTCTAGAGAGTCCCACGGACTGCAAGAAGATCCAACCTCTCCATTCTGAAGGAAATCAGCCCTGAGTGCTCACTGGAAGGACAGATCCTGAAGCTGAGGCTCCAAGACTTTGGCCACCTCATGAGAAGAGAAGACTCCCTGGAAAAGACCCTGATGCTGGGAAAGATGGAGGGCACAAGGAGAAGGGGACGACAGAGGAGGAGGTGGGTGGACAGTGTTCTCGAAGAGACAAACATGAGTTTGACCAAACTGCGGGAGGCAGTGGAAGACAGGAGGGCCTGGCGTGCTCTGGTCCAGGGGGTCACGAAGAGTCGGACATGACTAAAGGACTAAACAACAAAATAAAAAAGAAAGAAATGCAGTAGCAAGATTTACCAACCCTCCAGGAGTGGCAGGTGAAGATGATAGATTTTGCAGAACTTGCCAATTTGACTGTAAGGATCCGGGACCAAGAGGACCAAAGATACAATAACAATTGGAATAAATTTATTGAATATATAAAGGAGAACAACAAAAATATTAAACTCTGAAACTCTGGCTGGTTTCAGAGAGAATCTGCTCCTCAGGCTCTAAGTCTTGAAGCTTCAGGGGGTGCAAGACCCTCAGAGCAGATGTTTCGAGCTCAAGGTTGATCTGGGAGAAGCAGTTAGGAGCCTGGGGCGGGAGCAGATCACAGCCGTCCTCCATCGCACGCAGCAGGGATCATTTGAAGTCAACCTGAGCAGGAGGAAGCGAGATTGGATCAAGCCGGCTCGGAGGTTGCGGCTCTGATCTGCTTTCTGAAAGCCCCTTTGATGTGGAGCCAGAACATTCCCAGCTACGCAACCGTCTCCCCGCCGGCACATCTGAGATCGAAAAACGCGCCCTGACAGACCAGGCCCCGGACCTGGTTTCCATTAAGAAGTCAAACAGCTGTGAACCGGCTCGCCTGAATTAAGAGAGAAATATTAGCCCAAGGTCTCTGAAGGAGGGCTAGGAGAGGATAGCAAAGGATCCCTTTCGTTTTCATCGACTTGAATCGTCATTATTATGTACTGAGTTGAATAGGATCCAAAATGCAGCAGTCTGATTTGTCCTAGAACAATAGGATTCAGAATGCAGCAGTCTGATTGGTCCTAGAACAATAGGATTCAGAATGCAGCAGTCTGATTGGTCCTAGAACAATGCAGCAGTATGATTGGTCCGCAGGAGCCACCCAATCCAGCTCCAGATGGAAGTGAATCCACAACCTGATTGGCCTACAGGAGAATTCCAGAATTAGCCAATCATGTGCAGCCCATTGTGTAAATAATGTATATAAAGCAGATACTTTGGGGGAACATTCATTCCTCCTCACCACTATGAGCTGAATAAAGAGCATGAAATCCACTCTCGACTCTGAGTATATTTCAGTCATGCTGGTTGCGGGGTTCCTACAAAACATGGCTGCCTGCCTGAGGCAACCTAAGGCACATGGGGCACAAGCAGCCCACGGGGGTCATTTAACTGGCCCCCGAGCCGCCTGCTCAGCGAGTCCCCGCGTACTGTGCTAAACCCGTGTGGCGCGGGGACTCGCTTCTGCGGCGCAGGAAATCGTGTCTGCGTAGACGCCGAAAATCATGTCTGCGCAGACGCAGACCCCAGAAATTGCCGGCGCGGGCACTCACACACACGCGTGATCTGGTCCACAGAGGGATCTCTGCTGGAGTGAACTGCCCAGGTAAGGTAAATCTTGCCAACCCCTGATGTAACCTGTCTCCTCTTTTCCTGGCTAAACACACCTAGCTCCTTCAACTGTTCCTCATAAGACTTGGTTTCCAGACCCTTGATCACCTTGGGGAAACTGTTACCTTACGAGAGATGGCACCCCCGGGTTTCTCCGTCCTCCACCAGTCACGGACTGTGGGCCGGGGGGGAGGGGTGGCATTATTAATCCGGGAAGATTGTTCTTTCAGGGCTCTACCATCGCCATCGATCCCCAGCATTGAATGTGTTGGCCTAGTGTGGGGCTCCCAGGTGAGCTTGGCTGTCTGGCTGGTGTACCGGCCACCTAGCGCACCAGCAGCCACCGTCAGGCCTGCTGGAGGCGGTGACTGGCTGGGCCTTGGAGTTCCCTAACCTATTGGTATTGGGGGACTTCAACATCCATGCTGATGCCACTCCCTCCTCACAGGCTCTGGACCTGGTGTCTTCCATGGCAACACTAGGGCTCTCCCAGTTTGTTTCGGGTCCCACACATCAAGCAGGCCACACGCTGGATCTGATCTTTGGCGTCGGTATAGATGTGATCATGTCTCCTTCGATGAAGATGCCATGGTCTGAAAGCCAGGATTGACTTTCCACCCCCACCCTGCTTAGGTGGCGAGCCGATTTGGGCTCGCCCGCAGAGGCGGATGGACCCTGATAGATTCCGCCAAGCCTTGCGGGACCTTTCTCCCCCTGGCGACTCATTGACTGAGCTGGTTGAGGGCTGGAATATCCAGCTCCTGGCAGCCATCGATGAGATCGCACCTAGGCGCCCTCTGCGACCCCGCAGAAACCGGGCTCCCTGGTTTACCGAGGAGCTCCAGAAAATGAAGCGGGACCTCAGACGGCTAGAGCGAGTATGGCGGGGTGCCCGTGACAGAGCCTCAAGAACATCTTATAGGGTTTTTATGAAAACCTACGAGATGGCAGTGAAGGCCGCTAAGAAGTCCTACTTCTCGGCCTCCATTGCCTCCGCTAGCTCTCGCCCGGCGCAATTATTTAGTATAATTAGGTCTTTAACGTCCCTTGAAGGACAGCCAAATTTAAATAACCATTTGACACACAGCTGTGAGGCATTTGCGAGCTTTTTTGCGGAGAAGGTCCTGTTGCTCCGCCATGACCTCCCTGCCAATTTGGATACAATAAAGGAACTGGAGGCCCCTCGACTGTCCTCGGGTCCAGTATTGGACCACTTTGACCAGATATCCCCAGCCGATGTGGACAGACTCCTCCGAGCTGGAAAGCCCACCACCTGTCCTCTTGACCCGTGCCCGTCTTGGCTGATTAGAGCGTGTCCAGACGAGGTGCGGGCCCCCCTGGGGGATATCATCAATTTGTCCCTTGGCACCGGGATATTCCCAGGGGAACTGAAGGAGGCAGTGGTGCGCCCACTCTTAAAGAAAACATCATTAGATCCCTTAGATCTTTCCAATTACCGCCCGGTTTCGAATCTTCCATTCCTGGGTAAGGTGATTGAGAGAGCGGTTGCTGAACAGCTTGGTAGGTTTCTGGATGAAACATCGGCTCTGGATCCGCGCTGGTCATGGGACCGAGACGGCTCTGGTCGCCCTAACAGATGATCTCTGCAGGCAGCTGGATCGAGGCGGGTCAGGGCTGCTGATTCTTCTAGATCTGTCAGCAGCTTTCGACATGGCCGATCACGAACTCCTGGACCACCGCCTTGCAGACGTGGGGATCCAGGGCACAGTCCTTCAATGGCTGCGCTCGTTTCTCTCTGGTTGGGGTCAGAGGGTGGCGCTTGGGGGGGAATTGTCATCGCGCCACTCCTTGGTGTGTGGAGTGCCTCAGGGTGCGATTCTCTCCCCGATGCTTTTCAACATCTTTATGCGCCCCCTCGCCCAGCTTTTCCGGAGTTTTGGGCTGGGTTGCCATCAGTATGCCGATGACACCCAACTCTATCTGTTGATGGATGGCCATCCTGACTCGGCCCCAGACACACTGACCAGATGTTTGGAGGCTGTGGCTGGATGGTTACGTGGGAGCCGGTTGAAGTTAAATCCTTCGAAGACAGAGGTCCTCTGGCTGGGATGGGACGATATGGGATTGGGGGGGCAACTCCCATCTCTTGCGGGGGTGCAATTAGTGCCAGCACCGTCCGTTAAGAGTTTGGGTGTAATCTTCGATACCTCCCTCTCTATGGAGGCGCAGATTACAGCTATAACAAAGGCGGCATTTTTCATCTCCGCCAAGCTAAGCAGTTGGCCCCTTATCTCTCTCGCCCTGACCTAGCCACTGTGATCCACGCGACGGTCACCTCCAGACTGGATTATTGTAACTCGCTCTACGTGGGGCTGCCCTTGAGACTGACCCAGAAACTCCAGCGGGTGCAGAATGCCGCGGCGAGACTCCTTACGAGGTCTTCGCTGCGAGATCACATTCACCCGGTACTATAACTGCACTGGCTCCCGGTAGAGTACAGGATCAGGTTCAAGGTGCTGGTTTTAACCTTTAAAGCCCTATACGGCCTAGGACCCTCGTACCTACGGGACCGCCTCTCCTGGTATGTCCCACAGAGGAACCTACGGTCTGCAAATAAAAACATCCTGAAGGTCCCAGGCCTCAGAGAGGTTAGGCTGGCCTCAACTAGAGCCAGGGCTTTCTCGGCTGCGGCTCCAATCTGGTGGAACGCTCTGTCACAAGAGACTAGGGCCCTGCGGGACCTGACATCTTTCCGCAGGGCCTGCAAGACAGAGCTGTTCCACCAGGCCTTTGGTCAGGGCGCAGCCTGACCCCCTCCTCTGGCAATCTGCACAGAATTTTGCTTAATGGTTGCCACCAATTTGATTTTAATTAATTTTTATAATGAAATGTTTTTAGAATGTTGGATTATTTTGATTGTTGTTAGCCGCCCTGAGCCCAGCTTCGGCTGGGGAGGGCGGGATATAAATAAAAAAATTTATTATTATTATTGGTTCTCTTCCTTGAGGCGAGCTGAGGCAATTGCCTCGGGTGGCAGGATCTAGAGAGGCAGCAGATCCTGATGTAGATCGCTATTCCCTACTCGTTCCTGAGATCTGCACTTGCCGCTTTCCCCCTGGTGGGGAGGAAAAGCACCGTTTTGTCATTCACCTCAGGAGCCAAAATGTATCAGGGTCACCTGGCAGAATCGGGAGGAACAGGTAGGGGAGCTACCGGCGGCCCCCCAAAAAAACTTCCGCATCCTTATCTCTCTCTATCTCTCTCTCTATCCAAATAAACTGCAAAAAAATTTTAATCCTGCCAATGCCTTCAAGCCACAATAAAATGCGACTCCTCCAAGCAACGTCAACAAAGGCTGAGGGTGCCTCGTGTACAGATTCTGAGAACAAGGAGATGTGAGAGATCTTATCAGCAAAGGGACTTGCAAACATCTCCAAGTGGGAGGCCAAGGAGTAAATCTTCCAGCGTCTTTGATCTCCTAAGCACTCTTATTTCTTAGACATGTTACACAAGCTAGTCAGAGACTTGTTATGCAAGTTTCGCAGGACCGGCTAGCAGAGCTGCGCTGCATGAGGCTGCAGGTAGGGCTTGAATTTCTGAATGCCCTCCCAGATTTATTTATTTTTTAAAACCCCCACAAATCCTCCTCTTTGCATGTAGAAATCTAGCACGAGAGAGTGCGAGGTTTTGCAAAGGCTTCTGGCTGATGTGCTAGCTTACCGGGAATAGGCAGCTTTTTTCACATGGGTAAGAGGCAACTTAGGGACACGGGTGGCGCTGTGGGTTAAACCACAGAGCCTAGGGCTTGCTGCTCAGAAGGTCAGTGGTTCAAATCCCTGCAACGGGGTGAGCTGCCGTTGCTCGGTCCCTGCTCCTGCTAACCTAGCAGTTCGAAAGCATGTCAAAGTGGAAGTAGATAAATAGGTACCACTCTGGCGGGAAGGTAAACAGCGTTTCCGTGTGCTGCTCTGGTTTGCCAGAAGTGGCTTAGTCATGCTGGCCACATGACCCGGAAGCTGTACGCTGGCTCCCTCGGCCAGTAAAGCGAGATGAACGCCGTAACCCCAGAGTCGGCCATGACTGGACCTAATGGTCAGGGGTCCCTTTACCCTTTTTAAGGGACAACTGTATGGAATTGAGAGCTGGAACATAAAGAAGGCTGATCGTCGAAGAATGGATGCTTTTGAATTCTGGTGCTGGAGGAGACTCTTGAGAGTCCCATGGACGGCAAGAAGATCAAAGCTATCCATTCTGAAGGAAATCAGCCCTGAGTGCTCACTGGAAGGACAGATCCTGAAGCTGAGATTCCAATACTTTGGCCACCTCATGAGAAGAGAAGACTCCCTGGAAAAGACCTTGATGTTGGGAAAGATGGAGGGCACAAGGAGAAGGGGACGACGGAGGAGAAGATGGTTGGACAGTGTTCTCGAAGCTACCAGCATGAGTTTGACCAAACTGAGGGAGGCAGTGGAAGACAGGAAGGCCTGGCGTGCTCTGGTCAAGGAGGTCACAAAGAGTCAGACACGACTAAACAACTAAACAACAACAAGAAGATTACTAACAGAAAGGCTTCTGGTTTCTTTCTGGTTTCTTTAAAAATGTTAATTTGAACATTATTTTATCTCATCATAAAGAATATTCCAAAAATCTTGGACTTTTCTGCATGTCCACCACATGGGGATGGTGGGGATGCAAGAGAAGGCCTTCTTGGTGATGGCTCCTCCCAGAAAACTCCCTCCCTAGAGAATCCAGAGTGGCTCCCTCCTTGCTATCTTTCTGCTGGCAAGTGAAGAAGACCAGCTTGTTCCAATAGTCTTGTGGGAACAGACTGCTTATAATACAATGAAAGTGCTGGCGCTGTTTTTATTGTAATTATCTGAAGAATAATAATAATAATAATAATAATAATAATAATAATAATTTATTATTTGTACCCCGCCCATCTGGCTGGGTTTCCCCAGCCATTCTGGGCGGCTTCCATAGAAACCAAAAATACAGTAAAATATCACAGATTAAAAACTTCCCTGAACAGGGCTGCCTTAAGATGTCTTCTAAATGTCAGGTAGTTATTTATCGCTTTGACATCTGATGGAAGGGCGTTCCACAGGGCGGGCGCCACTACCGAGAAGGCCCTCTGCCTGGTACCCTGTAGCTTTGCTTCTCGCAATGAGGGAACCGTCAGAAGGCCCTCAGCGCTGGACCTCAGCGTCCGGGCAGAACGATGGGGGTGGAGACGCTCCTTCAGGTATACTGGGCTGAGCTCTGTATGTTTTTAATATCGATTATGAATGCTGTGGTACTTTGTGACCCTTACAATATGACTTTTGTTGTAATTGTGCTGTTTAGCTTATTCTTTTCGTTGTTTTACAGAACGTCATTGTTCTGCTGATGATTTGCAATTGTTTTACTGAGAACTTGTTAATCATTCCATACGATTTATGTTGTGTTCGCAATGTTCTATTGTTATCGCTGCTTGTGAGCCGCTTCGTGATTCACAAATGAATCACAATGGAAAGTGGCATAAAAATATGAGAAATGTAATGAACAAATGGGAAAATGAATTGGATGGATGAATAATAGATCTTACAGCTTGCATATGAAACAGAAACAGCTGGAAACACAGAAAATAACGACAATAATTAAAAAGTGAACATTAATAGAATTAAAGCTACTTACATAGTTTTTAAAATAATGCTGTTATTGTTTTCTACGCTTTTAGCTGTTACCTTTTTATTTGTAAGCTGGCTTGAGTCCCTGCTAGGGAAAAGGGTGAGGTATACATAGAAGAAGAAGAGGAGGAGGAGGAGGAGGAGGAAGAATAATTTATTATTTATACCCAACCCATCTGGCCGGGTTTCCCCAGCCACTCTGGGTGGCTTCCAACAAAGTAACAAAATACAGTGGTCTGTTAAACATTAAAAGCTTCCCTAAACGGGGCTGCCAGATGTCTTCTAAAAGTCAGGTAGTTGTTCTTCTCTTTGACATCTGGGGGAGAGCGTTCCACAGGGTGGGTGCCACTACTGAGAAGGCCCTCTGCCTGGTTCCCTGTAACTTGGCTTCTGCAGTGAGGGAACCACCAAAAGGCCCTTGGAGCTGGACCTCAGCATCCGGGCTGAATGATGGGGGTGGAGACACTCCTTCAGGTATACTGGGCTTTTTAGGGCTTTAACGGTCAGCACCAAGACTTTGAATTGTGCTCAGAAACGTACTGGGAGCCAATGTAGGCCTTTCATGACCGGTGTTATGTGGTCTCAGCGGCCGCCCCCAGTCACCAGTCTAGCTGCCGCATTCTGGATTAGTTGTAGTTTCTGGGTCACCTTCAAAGGTAGCCCCACGTAGAGCGCATTGCAGTAGTCCAAGCAGGAGATAACCAGAGCATGCACCACTCTGGCGAGACAGTCCGCGGGCAGGGAGTGTCTCATCCTGCGTACCAGGTGGAGCTGATAAACAGCTGCCCTGGACACAGAACTGACCTGTGCCTCCATGGACAGCTGTGAGTCCAGAATAACTCCCAGGCTGCGCATCTGGTCCTTCAGGGGCACAGTTACCCCATTCAGGACCAGGGAGTCCTCCACACCTGCCCACCTCCTGTCCCCCAAAAACAGTACTTCTGTCTTGTCAGGATTCAACCTCAATCTGTTAGCCACCATCCATCCTCCAACCACCTCCAGACACTCACACAGGACTTTCACCACCTTCACTGGTTCCGATTTAAAAGAGAGGTAGAGCTGGGTATCATCCGCATATTGATGGACACCCAGCCCAAACCCCCTGATGATCTCTCCCAGCGGCTGCATGTAGATGTTAAAAAGCATGGGGGAGAGGACGGAGCCCTGAGGCACCCCAAAGGTGAGAGCCCAGGGGTCTGAACACTCATCCCCCACCACCACTTTCTGAACACGGCCCAGGAGGAAGGAGCGGAACCACTGTATGACAGTGCCCCCAGCTCCCAGCCCCTCAAGATGGTCCAGAAGGATGTTATGGTCGATGGTATCAAACGCCGCTGAGAGATCCAGCAGAACTAGGAAACAGCTCTCATCTTTGTCCCTAGCCCGCCGGAGATCATCGACCATTGCGACCAAGGCAGTTTCAGTCCCATGGTGAGGCCTGAATCCCGACTGGAAGGGATCCAAATGGTCCGCTTCTTCCAGGCGTGCCTGGAGTTGTTCAGCAACCACTCGCTCAATCACCTTGCCCAAGAATGGAAGATTTGAGGAGAAGAAGAAGAGGAGGAGGAGGAGGAATAGCAGGAAATATTTTTAGTTTAAGATGATATTTGAAAGCTGTTACATGCAGATACAGTGAAATTCAGAAGGGAGGGATTTGGGGAAGTCAATTAAGAATGTGAATAAAATTGGGTTTTTAAGGGATACGGGATTAAGATTGCTTTTTTATTGTTGTCTTGTTTTTGTTTTTTAGTATTGTACTTTTTTCCCTTTGGGGTTTTTTTTGGTCTTTTTCTATGTCTTATTTGTTATAATTGTGGAAAACGTAATAAAAAAAATTGAAAAAAGAAGAAGAGGAGGAGGAGGAGGAGGAGGAAGAAGAAGAAGAAGAAGAAGAAGAAGAAGAAGAAGAAGAAGAAGAAGAAGAAGAAGAAGAAGAAGAAGAAGAAATTATAACAACCAAGGATGATGGAAAATCATAGAATCTTAGAACTGTACAGTTGCAGGGGACCCCAAGGGTCATCTAGTCCAACCCCTGGCAGTGCAGGAATCTTTTGCCCAACATGGGGCTCGAACCCTCGACCCTGAGATTAAGAATCTCCTGCTCCACCGACTGAGCTACCGTGTTGGGCCTCCCAGGCAAGATGTGCACCTGGGAGTGAGGAACCTGTTGTCCTTGTCCTCCCGAAGTTGTTGGACCACAACTCCCTCCACCCCTTGGACCCTGGGCCATGCTGTCTAGGGCCGACAAGAACCGGAGTCCGTCAACATCAGGAGCGCGATGGATTTCCCCCTTCCATGATGCAGAGAACAGCTCTGAAGCTCTCCATCTGTCGGGATGTTAACAGAAAAATCCGAGGGCTCCCTTGGACAAAAACAAAGACACCAACCAGGATAACTTGGAGCAAAACAGCAGCCTGTAGGCTTGGCCTTTATTGAATACTGTCACAACAGAAGAAGAAGAAGAAGAGTTTGGATTTGATATCCTGCCTTTCACTCCCTTTAAGGAGTCTCAAAGCGGCTAACAATCTCCTTTCCCTTCCTCCCCCACAACAAACACTCTGTGAGGTGAGTGAGACTGAGAGACTTCAGAGAAATGTGACTGGCCCAAGGTCACCCAGCAGCTGCATGTGGAGGAGCGGAGACGCGAACCCGGTTCCCCAGATTATGTGACTACCGCTCTTAACCACTACACCACACTGGCTCTCAGGACTCCCACCTGCAACAAGATGAAGCAAAATGGAAGCCCAGAACAAAAGAAGACCCCAACTTTTATTAGTTACTAATCCCCCAAACTACACCCCTAAGACTACATCACAAAAAGGAGGGGTTGAGGGAGGAGTTGTGGAGGTAACCTGAGTATCTTGTCACCTGGCTGGTTCCTCCTTTCCTCCCTCCCCATGAGTACTTTCCAGGTGACAAAGGGGAGCTGGCAGTTTCCTGCCCCCAGAGGGAAGAGCTGATCATTGTCCTTTGTTCCAGTCCATGCTGAATCCACTCCCATATGCAAGTTCTTTGTGATCTTGATGGTCTTCTGCCTAGGACCATCAGGGTTGGCATAGCAAGTGGGCAGGGCTCCTGTGTATGTGCTGGTATGCTCAAGGGATCATGACTGGCCTGTCTCAAACCTTCCCCATTTTGTAGTCCTTCCTTCATGGAGTAAAATAAAAGTGGAACGGTGCAGATCCGATGTATGGTTGATTTTCTATGAATTTATAACAGAAGCGTAGCATATGTAGTGTTTGTGTGTGTGTGTGAAGTTTGTACAAACTGAATGATGGGGGGGGGTTTCCTGTGACAGGGACACAATACTGGCGGCGAAGGCGGACTCTCCAAATGCCAGGCAGCAATTAACCAGGCGCAGCAGGCACAGATCGCGGGGGTTAAGGCGCCATTGCGTCAACATCCTTGCACGGCAAGCATGGCTCCAGATGATCCCGGCGAAACGAACTGCTCTCATAAAGAACTGTCTCCAATTTTCCTTTCCCTCTTCTCTGCATCTGTTTCTGTTTTGGGGTTGATATTTTTCCAGCCCTGGGGCAAGAGAGGCTCTCCGAAGGAGCCCAACTTTTTAGGCTGCCAGTGGCATCCAGATCGAAAAGAGGAGGCCGGCGATATTTGTTTAGCTCCGAAAACACCAACGCCGAGATAGCAAAGGCCACGCATTCCGTGGGGATCTCCGAAGGTTTAAGGGGAAGAAAAAGAGAAAGATGAGCCAGAAAGGGATGAAATCTTTTGGCTCTCGTTCCCAATACATTGTGCAGAAGTGCTTGGCTGGCAGGGGGTTCAGGAGGAGGAAGCCATTCTAGGAAGGAATCGGGGTAGTTCGCCTTCATGCCTGGAGAGTTACCTGGATCCAGAGCCCAGAAAGGCCATAGCCATAGCTGTCAACCGTCCCTTATTTGGCGGGAAAGCCCCTTATCCCAGCGCTGTGTCCCGCTGCTGTCCCTTATCGATGATGTCCCTTAAATTTCCCGGGTTCCAGAGGAAGCAGCTCCTCTCCCTCCCTCCCTGCCGGCCAGGGAGGAGGGAGGCTCCAGCTGTGTTGCTTGGCTGCGTTGCTCACCCAATAAGGAGTCTAAGAACGACTGGGGGGTGGAGCTTGCATGCCTTGTGCCGATCAAATCGGCCGCCTTGCCTGGGGACTCACCCTTGCTCAGCGCTTCCCAGCGGAGAGGTGACGGTGGTTTTCCTTGCTGCATCCCCTTTGCCGGGTTGCTGCGCTGTGGGAACCACCGCTTGAGGCTTCGTTTGGCTGCTGGCTGGGCTTTCTGCCTTTGGCTCGGAGGGGCTCAGAAGTTGAACATACCTGTGCTGGGAAAATCCCTTATTTTGGCTGCTGATCCCTTATTTTCGAGGCTGCTGGTCCCTTATTTTCAAATCTGTAAGTTGACAGCTATGGCCATTGCTCACTTGTAGAACATCTGCCTTGCACAATAAAGGTTCCAGGTTCAAATCCTGAAGCTTTGAGGGGAAGTGTGTGGAACAGGTCTTGGTGTTTCAATTTCTGGGAATGGAGTTGAGAGACACCCTAACCTGGGGAGGAAACAGCAAAGACCTGATGAAGAGAGCACAGCAGAGGTTATATTTTCTGAGAATCCTCCGGAAAAACAATCTCTCAAAGGACCTGTTGATGGCATTTTAACATTGTACTGTGGAGAGTGTATTAACTTATTGGTCTGTGTGTGTGGTTTGGGAGCTGCACGGTCAGGGGGAAAACAGTGCTGTCCAGGGTTGTAAAGACTGCGGAGGGAATAACTGGGTGCACTCTTCCCACCTTGGATCAAATCTTTGCTTCCAGGTGCCATAAGAAAGCTGCAGAGATAGCGCAGGATGGTGCGCACCCCGGAAATGATCTCTTTCAGCTTCTGCCTTCTGGAAGAAGGTACAGGGTTATCAAGACTAGGACTAGCCGCCTGAGAAACAGTTTCTATCCAAATGCGATTTTGGTTTTAAACGCAGTGTAAGGTAGTCTCTATGGGAGTATATTGTATTTAATTATGGGGTATCAGAGTTTTTAGGGGGCTAACCAGGCTGGGATAGCTGGGATAGCAGGCTTGTTAGTTTCTGAATGCCTGGTGTAGATTTTCAATTTCTTTGTTCTGTATGGGACAATGACAATAAATATTATTGTATTGTATTGTATTGTATTGTATTGTATTGTATTGTATTGTATCTCCAGGCAGCAGGGAACCCGGCCTGAAACCCTTGAAAGCAGCTGCCAGTCAGTGTAGGCCATACTGAGCTAGATGGAGCAATGATCTGACTCAGAATACGGCAGCTTCCTATGTTCTTATGGCTCCTCCTCAGTCCAGTCCCTGACAATGAGTGAGGTGACATCCACATTGTATGGCGCTAGTGGCAGAGCAGCCTCTGGCGCTGATTGGCTTATTGCAGCCAACAAATCTGCATGGATTCCATGAATGGGCAGCATGGATTCCATGAATGAGAAGCAAAGTCAGGGCTTTTGGGCGGGTGTGTTGGCAGTGGGTCCCTTGGTAGGGTGCAACCCCTGGAGCTGCCTTTGAACTCCCCGAGGACTTTGCCTTGGATAGCTCAGTTCATAGAAACATAGAATTGCAGAGTTGGAAGGGGCCCTGAGAGTCATCTAGTCCAACCCCTACAGTGCAGGAAAACGCAGTTGTCCTATAAGGGGATTTTACCTACAACCTTGGCGTTATCAGCACTGCACTCAAACCAACTGGGCTACCCAGGCTGGTTAGAGCATGGTGCTGATAACGCCAAGGTTACAGCTTCGATCCACGTTTCAAACAGTTGCCTGCAGTGCCTCACGGCCTAGGACCCTCGTACCTACGGGACCGCCTCTCCCGGTATGCCCCACGGAGGACCTTAAGGTCCATAAATAGCAACACCCTAGAGGTCCCAGGCCCTAAGGAAGTTAGATTAGCCTCAACCAGAGCCAGGGCCTTTTCAACACTGGCTCCGATCTGGTGGAACGCTCTGTCTCATGAGACCAGAGCCCTGCGGGATCTGATTTCTTTCCGCAGGGCCTGTAAGACAGAGTTGTTCCGCCTGGCCTTTGGCTTGGAGCCAATTTGATTCCCTCCCCCTCTTTCTTTTTCCTTTCTCCTCCTGTGATGAGGCTGCATTTTAATATTTTAATGTTTCAATATTTTAATATTGTATTTTAATCTTGTTTTTAAGTTGTATTCATTCAACTTGTTTTTATTATTGCTTGTTAGCCACCCTGAGCCCGGCCTTGGCTGGGGAGGGCAGGGTATAAATAAAAATTATTATTATTATTATTATTATTATTACAGTGGTACCTCGGGTTAAGAACTTAATTCGTTCCGGAGGTCCGTTCTTAACCTGAAACTGTTCTTAACCTGAATCATCACTTTGGCTAATGGGGCCTCCTGCTGTTCTCAACCTGAAGCAAAGTTCTTAACCCGAGGTACTATTTCTGGGTTAGCGGAGTCTGTAACCTGAAGTATCTATAACCTGAAGCGTCTGTAACCCGAGGTACCACTGTATTCCTGCAGCGGTTTGGACTACAATTCTGTGATTCTCCTACAACGATGTATCACAAGGGACATCTTCTGAGTGATGATGACTGCCTGCCTGCTAAGTTTCCAAGGAATTTGGGGGGCCCACGGAAATACGGTCAGAGAAGACACCAGATTTCAGCCAATCTGGTTTACTCACTTCCCACCCGTCGCTTGCGGGTTGGGAGCCAGAGTCGGCGATCTTTATCACCAGCGTTTTCAATGTATACTTGGAAAACATGTCCGTGTGACGCACTCCTTCTTTCCTTTCCCTTTTATTCTTCCTTGAGCAAGCAAACGAGCGTTTAATATCTGATGCCGTCAGAGTTCAGCGCAGACCGCAAAGGACAAAAGCTTGCAAGCCACTATAAATAGCACAGCCCTTCTATTGTATTTCATCTGAATACATGTCACAACGCTCTTTTTATAGCCTCGCTGAACCTGATGTTTTCGTTGGCTGTTCAAACCCTGCGGACCAGAGAAGTCAGAGGGACGGCGGCCATAAAGACAGCTCCTCTCTCTACCTCTCGAGGAATCCCATCTGTCCACAAAGACTTACTCTGAGCTCTGTTTCTTGGTCACTTTAGAGCGTGACAGAAAAGTTGGGAGCTGAACTCAAACGCCAACTGCCAACCTTCCATCCCTTCCCACGCAAGGAGATTTATTTATTTATTCATTTAAGCAATTAAAATTTAACTCATTACATTACTCTGCTTGGGGAGGGGGAATAAAAGAGTTTTACGAAACCCTCAGCCCCTTAGACTGGTACTCCCCATTTGTAAGAACACTTTCCCACGAAACTTTCCAAGTCTTTGCTGTGCCCATTTCACAGAAACAGGAAGCAAGGGCATCAGAATTCTTTCGGGGGTTTTTTTAACAAAAACTCCAAGGTGCACCTATCAGAGCCTGGTGCAAAATGGTGGTTTGGGGGTGGAGCCAGTTACCACCCAAACCCACGAGTCGTGCACCAGAATGACTTGCATTCTACAAGTGCAAATCTTCATTTGACATACGACACATCAGTTAATCTGGCCCCAAACTCTTAATATTGCTTAGCAGTGTTGGAATCGGGGGGGGGGGGATAGAACAGATCAAAAGCAACCAATTAATAATACTTGCATTCTGCAGACGAGGTTGAGCAATTAAAACAAGACCAGCCACGGCAAAATTTATTTTCACTTGCTGATGTTACACTATCAGGCGTCAGAAATATTCATTATATTATTTGTACCCGTCCCATCTGGCTGGGTTGCCCCCTCCCCAATCTTCTACAGTCCACCCAGTAGATCATAATCTACCTTCCATCTGTTGGCTCCGTTCTAGACTGTGGTTAACAGCCTCCTCTCGATTCATTTCGTAGCAAGAACGCAACGTGATCCCATTTGCCGCGCCACAAATCCCTCTGAGCCACAGAGAAGGCGAAAGGAAAAAGTGCATTGGAACTCCGGATTCTTCCATCAAATTAATGCTCCACCGCTCATTATCCATTTAATCATATTTGATCAGCCACTAAGCCAAACCACCTCACCCAGACCATGAAAGGAGAAGAAGACATGTTTACTGAAATAGCCAGAAGTCCCACTGTCCTCAGGTACGCAGACCCAAGTCCCTCAGGAGCGGTCTTCACTTGCCGGACATGATCCGCAGGAATTCCTCGTAGTTCACCTGCCCATCTCCGTCCACGTCAGCCTCCTTGATCATGTCCTCCACCTCTTCATCCGTCAACTTTTCGCCAAGCTTGGTCATGATGTGGCGCAGCTCTGCAGCGCTGACGTAGCCGTTCCCATCCTTATCGAAGACCCGAAAGGCGTTCCGGATTTCTTCCTCCCCATCGGAGTTCTGGATCTTCCTGGCCATCAAGGACAGGAACTCTGGGAAGTCCACAGTGCCATTCCCATCAGCATCCAGCTTATCGATCATTTCCTTGAGCTCGGCTTCTGTTGGGTTTTGCCCAAGAGACCTCATGACGGTGCCCAGCTCCTTTGTGGTGATGGCACCATCTCCATCTTTGTCGAAGATCAGGAAGGCCTCCTTGAACTCAGCGATTTGCTCTTCCGAGAGATGTTCAGCCATGGCTTCCTCCTTGCTTCTGACAACTTCCACGGTCACCCTGGGACTGCCTTGGCGTTCTCCGGCGCAATGAAGAAGTTCTTCTCTTCCCTTTTTTGGGAGTTGCCAAGAACCGCGGGTGTCTTCTCTGGCCCTCGGCCCAGGGATGAGCCACAATTTGGGGAAAGGTTAGGCAACACCCAAGTGGAGCTTTTGCTGGAGCAAAGTGAATCACAGGGAAGTAGGAGATCCACACCCTTTTAAGTTACACAACCTGCCAGTCCCGTTTGGGTAGCAAATGAAAGAGGCAAGAAGGTAGCAAACATTTTATTTTATTTTGGATTCCATGTAATTGGAGGAAGGGGAATCATGAAATTAGAAGTGTGGTTTTATTTCATTTGTGGGCAAAAGCAGTTTGCAGAATCTTGGGATGCTAGAGGTAAAAGGGTTAAATTGTAAAGGACACCCTGGATGGTTAAGTCCGGTCGAATTTGACTAGGGGGTGCAGCGCTCATCTTGGTTTTCAGGCCGAGGGAGCCAGCATTTGTCCACAGACAGCCTTCCAGCTCCAAAAACATCTTGGAGGTCCCAGGCCACAGGGAGACTAGGCTGGACTCAACCAGAGCCAGGGCCTTTTCATCCGTGGCCCCGATCTGGTGGAACGCTCTTTCACAAGAGACCAGGGCCCTGCGGGACTTGACATCTTTCCGCAGGGCCGGCAAGACAGAGCTGTTCCACCAGGCCTTTCGCCAGGGCACAGCCTGACCCCATCCTTTGCTAATTCTTCACAGAACTGTAGCCCAGTGGTTGCCATTAATTTGATTTGAACTGATTTTATAATGAATTGATTTTAGAATGCTGTATTATTTTTCATAGGGACGTGGGTGGCGCTGTGGATTAAACCACAGAGCCTAGGGCTTGCCGATCAGAAGGTCGGCGGTTCGAATCCCTGTGATGGGGTGAGCTCCCGTTGCTCGGTCCCTGCTCCTGCCAACCTAGCAGTTCGAAAGCACGTCGAAGTGCAAGTAGATAAATAGGTACCGCTCCAGCGGGAAGGTAAACGGCGTTTCCGTACACTGTTCTGGTTCACCAGAAGCGGCTTAGTCATGCTGGTCACATGACCCAGAAGCTGTGCTCCCTTGGCCAGTAAAGCGAGATGAGCGCCACAACCCGAGTCGGTCACGACTGGACCTAATGGTCAGGGGTCCCTTTACCTTTACCTTTATTATTTTACTGTTGTTAGCCATCTGAGCCCGGCTTCAGCTGGGGAGGGCGGGATATAAATAAAATTTTATTATTATTATTTATTATGTGGCCAGCAGGACTAAACTGCTTCTGGCGCAACAGGACACCGTAACAGAAGCCATAGCGCATGGAAACGCCATTCACCTTCCCGCAGATAGATGACATAATAAGAGTTTATAACATTCGGCATGGCATGGGTGGAGAAAGGAATTTCTCCCCCTGTCATAAGTCTAGAATTTATAGGCATCCAAGGACGCGGAATGTTGGAAGATTCAGGACAGATCATTTAGCTTTGGAACTCCTGGCCTATTGAGATAAAGTACGTGCCTTCCTACTGGAGTCTCTTTGGCACCTGATAAAAAGGTTCTTGTTTAGACACGTCTACCCACATGCTTAGAAAGTTGGAATAATTTCAATCTTGTTTCAGTATGTTTTAATGCATGGTTTTGAATTTTCCCAGTTTTGCTGTTTTATCTTTTTGTAAACTGCTGGCACTTAAAAAAACCCCAATTAATAGGTGTATACATTTTATGAAAGAAAGAAAGAAAGAAAGAAAGAAAGAAAGAAAGAAAGAAAGAAAGAAAGAAAGAAAGAAAGAAAGAAAGAAAGTTCTTCTCTTTTTATGAAGATTCCCCGCTCTGGGATCCCACAGCTAATTCTCCCCTGGTCTCCTCGCTGGCCCAAACAGGACTAATTTAGCCAGCTAGCCCTGGTGATCATCTAATGTTTATTGGATGGATTTCCCCCCTAAATTGATTTTTGAATTCTGAATTTATTGTTATTCATGTTTTATACTGTATTTTATGCTGTTTTGGTTGCATCAATTAAGTGTTTTATATTTGTTGTTAGCCGCCCTGAGCCCAGTTTTCTGAACTGGGAAGGGTGGGGTATGAATAAAAATCTATTATTATTATTATTATTACTATTATTATTATTATTATCATCATCATCATCATCATGACACTAGTACTTGCACACATCCACTGAAGCTGACTGTTGGGAGATTCGGGACAGAGGAAGAAAGTCCTTCTTCACACAGCACAGAGTTAAACTGTGGAACTCCCTCCCACAGGAAACTGTCATGGCCACCAACATGGACGGCTGTAAAAAAAGGATTGGAGAAATTTATGGATGGCTAATGGCTGTGAGGTTGGAAGTGGTGATGTTTCTGAAGACCAGCTGATGGAAACTTCAGGAGAGGGAGAGTTGCTCTTGCACTCAGATCATGCTTGGAGGTTTCCCTAGAGGCACAAAATTGTTAGGGGTACAAAATTTCCACACCTGATGCTGCCTCAATACATCTGCAAGCTTCCATCCCCGGGCTCCCTTGCAAACCAGGAAGCAGCCTCTCCAGACAATAGAATGACTCTTCTTTTATGATCTCTGTGGTTTTGGTCTCCTGGGTGACACGGGCACCCTGAGGCAGTGCTCCCTCCCTTTCCCTCCCTCCCACCATCCCCTCCACAAAGCCCTGGGCACTGGCAACCTGTGCTATGCCACTGACCACCAGGATAATGTCAAACCTAGACCACACTGGCAACCCACGCTATGCCACTGACCACCGGGCTAATGTCAAACCTAGACTGCACTGGCAACCCACGCTATGCCACTGACCACCAGGATAATGTCAAACCTAGACTGCACTGGCAACCCACTCTATGCCACTGACCACCGGGCTAATGTCAAACCTAGACCGCACTGGCAACCCACCCTATGCCACTGACCACCGGGATAATGTCAAACCTAGACCACACTGGCAACCCACGCTATGCCACTGACCACCAGGATAATGTCAAACCTAGACCAGTTTTCCACTGTTTCTTCTTCAGCTGATGAACTGCTGCCACTGAAAACATAACCAAGTATATTGAGATTAAATTTGCATTCATTGCCCAATGCACGTTTGTCTCTGGCCCACGCATCACCAGCATCCGGCCCCCAGATGGCTGCCCAACAGGGAATGTGGCCCTCGGGCCCTCATCCACATGAGCACAACAAAGCGGCCTGCCTGTTCTCTGAATCTAATGTCCTCCTTCGCTCCCTCCCTGATTCATGTCCCGGCAGGCTGTCTGGAGAAAAGATCTTGTTGCTCAGCGTGGTACTTCTGATCTAACTAGCATTTGTCATTTTAGTTTCTGGCCCCCAGATGGGATCATCTGTCACCCTCCGTCATTTTCCGTAGGAACCCAAAGGCCTCTGACAGAACGTGAGCCATTTGCTTTTCCTCCTTCCTTCTCAGGGAATGCGTGTTTGGCTCAGAACTACTCTGAGATGGTTATTTTTCACATGCATCGGGGAATCAAGTTGTTTGGGGTTGTCCGATGCTCTGAAATCACCACCTTGAGACTCAGGGGTGGAGCCTTGAAGCTAAATACCTCAAGGACTGCCTTTCCACATATGTCCCAGACCTTGGGATCATCATCTGGGGCCTTTCTTCAAGTGCATCTTCCACAAGAGATCAGGAGAGTGGCAACCTGAGAACGGGGCCTTTTCTGTGGTGGCTCCCCGTTTGTGGAATGCTTTCCCTAAGGAGATTCACCTGGCGCCATCACTACAGATCTTTAGTTGCCAGGCAAAAAAATCCCTCTTCTCCCAGGCCTTTGACTAATTAAACATGGCCTTCTGAACTTCTGGCCTTCTGGGTTGTGGTTTTTGTTGGTTACTATGGTATGTATGTATGTATGGTATGGTATGTATCGGGATGCGGGTGGCGCTGTGGTCTAAACCACAGAGCCTAGTGCTTGCCGATCAGAAGGTCACCGGTTCGAATCCCCGCGACGGGGTGAGCTCCCGTTGCTCAGTCCCAGCTCCTGCCAACCTAGCAGTTCAAAAGCACATCAAAGTGCAAGTAGATAAATAGGTACCACTCCGGCGGGAAGGTAAACAGCATTTCCATGCGCTGCTCTGGTTTCGGTGTTCTGTTGCACCAGAAGTGGCTTAATCATGCTGGCCACATGACCTGGAAAAACTGTCTGCGGACAAACGCCGGCTCCCTCGGCCTGTAAAGTGAGATGAGTGCCGCAACCCCAGAGTCGTCTGCGACTGGACTTAACTATCAGGGGTCCTTTACCTTTATGGTATATATTTTTGTGTTTTTATACAGTCATACCTCATGTTACGTTTGCTTCATGTTACGTTTTTTCAGGTTGTGTCCCGCGGTGACCCAGAAGTACCGGAAAGGGTTACTTCCGGGTTTCGCCGCTCGTGCATGTGCAGACGTGCAAAATGGTGTCACGCGCATGTGCAGAAGCGGCAAATCGCAACTTGCGCGTGCGCAGATGCGCCGCTGTGGGTTGCGTTCCTTTCATGTTGCGAACGGGCCTCCGGAATGGATCCCGTTCGCAACCAGAGGTACCATTGTATTCTAAACCACCCTGGGATCTTCGGATGAAAGGCAGTATAAAATTTTAATAAATCATAATAAGGATTCTCCCTGGTTGAGATGGGTCCGTGCCCTAAGTTTCACTGGAAACCAAATTGCCTGTGAATTGTCTATGACTAAAGTTTGGGCTCGAATGGGTAGATCTTCTGGCAAAAGGGCCAACCCAATTGCAAGGGAGGATCAAAGCTCAAAACCTGCTCGCCTTGGCTTACAAAGACATGTGACCCAACCCTGGGAAGGTCTACTGCACAAGCTCCCCCGAACTGAATGGAAGAACCTCCCAGGGGATTGCGCCCAGAGATGGAACTGCCAGGTGTTCTCCAGGGCAGCCAGCCCTGCCAAATAATAGACTCCACAACTGAAAAGAGTACCATGGATTTATTTTCCCCTGGGGCCTGAGACGTCAACATCAGCAACATCTGCCCCAGATCTTTATTTTGGGCGTGTCTCCTTCAACCTGGCTGTGAGGAGGAAGACGCTTGAGAATGTTCCTTTGCAAGCTCCTCCAGTTCTCAGGTTGCAGTTCGGGGTATTAAGTGTCGACAGGGATGGTGGCGAGACGCATAGCATTTTTCTGCAAATTTCAGCCAGCGGGTAAACCGAAGTCTCAGCTCCGCTGCAAAGAGAAAAGGGGGGAAGAAAGAAATGGTAAAATAGAGAATACAGTGGTACCTCGGGTTACAGACGCTTCAGGTTACAGACGTTTCAGGTTACAGACTCCGCTAACCCAGAAATAGTACCTCGGGTTAAGAACTTTGCTTCAGGATGAGAACAGAAATCGCGTGGCGGCAGCAGAGGGAGGCCCCATTACCTAAAGTGGTACCTCAGGTTAAGAACAGTTTCAGGTGAAGAACAGACCTCCAGAACGAATTAAGTTCTTAACCCGAGGTACCACTGTATGGTGAGGACCATTTGTCAACCTGCTTGGGGTCATTATTATTATTGTTATTATTTATTTAATTTATATACCCGGGGGTCTCAGGGCGGTTCACAGAATAAAATCAAGATATAAAACCACAAAATACCTAATAAAAATAAAAACAACAACCCAATAGCCCCCAAAAAGCTCACATAGGATGCAAATCAGATCAGTCAAAGGCCTGGTTAAAAAGGAATGTTTTTGCCTGGCGCCTAAAGGGGTATAATGAAGGCACCAGGTGAACTTCCCTGGGCATTCTACAGATGGGGAGCCACTGCAGAGAAGGCCCTGTTTTCGTGTTGCCACCCTCTGGACCTCTCGAGGAGGAGGCACACGAAGGAGGGTCTCAGAAGATGATCTCAGGGTCCGGGTAGGTTCATATGGAAAGAGGCGGTCCTTGACATATTGCGGTCCTGAGCCGTGTAAGGAATCATGGAGTCAGAAGGTCCTCGAGTCTAATCCCTGCAATGCAGGAATCTCAACTGAAGCATCCCTGTCCGATAGCTGTCCAAGTGTCCAAGAAAAAGCTAGCAAGAGCTTTCCCACCACAGACAGTAACGGAACTGCAGGGAACCCAAAGATCATCTGTTCGGGCCTCAGGGCCACCTGGTGGTGAGGCCAACGCCAACAGCCAAAAGTCCCAAGGAGAGTCCAAAATCCAAAAAAGCTGTGTTCATCCAGTATTTTATACACAGAGAGAGAGAGAGGTTCTTGTATAACAGGGGGTTGGACTAGATGACCCCCAGGACCCTTCCAACTCCATGAGTCCATGGATATATATAGAAAGACACCAAAGAGCAGCAGTACATAGCATAATCGCCAGGACAGATCCTGTACCGTTATCCCTCACCTGTTCTGTTCTTCCCATCCTATGAGAAGGATACTACTGAATCGGACGTTATATTAAAAAATGTCCTTTAACATGTATGTTAGAGACATGTAACTAGCAACTGCTGGACGGGCCAATAATAATAATAATTTATTATTTGTACCCCAGCCACTCTGGGTGGCTTCCACAAAGACAAAAAATACACTAATATGTCATACATTAAAAACTTCCCAGAACAGGGCTGCCTTCAGATGTCTTCTAAAAGTCTGGTAGTTGTTTATCTCTTTGACATCTGGTGGGAGGGCATTCCACAGGGCGGGTGCCACTACCGAGAAGGCTCTCCTCCTGGTTCCTTGTAGCTTTACTTCTCGCAGTGAGGGAACCGCCAGAAGGCCCTCGGCGCTGGACCTCAGCATCCGGGCAGAACGATGGGGGTGGAGATGCTCCTTCAGGTATACTGGGCCGAGGCCGATAATGGTTTTAATCACAGCAGGCAGAGTGGGGGAGTTTAACCCTTTCCTTCCCTCACCGCCGCTGCAATCCTGATGCAAAGGACCCCTCTGAAGCTGCTATTTGCACGGGAAGGACACACACACAATCGGGTGCCAATACAAAGAAGACACGTTCCGTCTCATGCCCGGTTCGTCCTGGTAAATCCTTTTGTAAGGCTGGAGCCGTGAGGAGAGCTCTGCAGGGCCTCAGGCCTACGGGACCGCCTCTCCTGGTATGTCCCATGGAGGACCTTACGGTCTTCAAACAAAAACATCTTGGAGGTCCACAGGGAGGTTAGGCTGGCCTCAACCAGAGCCAGGGCCTTTTCGGCCGTGGCCCCGATCTGGTGGAACGCTCTGTCACAAGAGACTAGGGCCCTGCAGGACTTGACATCTTTCCACAGGGCCTGCAAGACGGAGCTGTTCCACCAGGCCTTGGGCCAAGGCACAGTCTGACTCCCTCCTTTGGTAATCCTCATAGAACTCCAGCCCAATGGCTGCCATTTATTTGATTCTGAATTGATTTTAGAATGAATTGATTTTAGAATGCTGTGTTACTTTTATTGTTGTTAGCCGCTCTGAGCCCGGCTTCGGCTGGGGAGGGTGGGATATAAATATATTATTATTATTATTATTATTAAACAGAGTTCATCCCTCAGCCTGCTGTGTCCAGCCAACCGGGGGGATCCAGGTAAACCCACAAGCAAGACAGGAAGGCAACGTTACTCCTCATCCTCTCGTCCGAAGGCTCTACTGACAAGTGCTGCTCACGCAGATCCTTAGGACTCCAAATCCCATCAGCCCCAGCCAGGGTAAGGCTGGCTATTAACAACTTGGGACCACTTCAGCTACGAGACGCATTCGCTGAGATTCCTGCTTTGCAGGGGGTTGGAATAGAGGATGTTTGGGGTCCCTTCCAACTCTACGATTCTATGAGATCACCTTGCCCCACATGAGCCCATTCCAACGCTTCGATTGGTGGAATTGGCATGGGTGCCACATACAATGGTACCTCGGGTTAAGTACTTAATACGTTCCGGAAGTCCGTTTTTAACCTGAAACTGTTCTTAACCTGAAGCACCACTTTAGCTAATGGGGCCTCCTGCTGCTGCCGCACTGCGGGAGCACGATTTCTGTTCTCATCCTGAAGCAAAGTTCTTAACCTGAAGCACTATTTCTGGGTTAGCGGAGTCTGTAACCTGAAGCGTATGTAACCTGAAGCGTATGTAACCCGAGGTACCACTGTAATACCTGGTCCACATTTGTAAAAGCTCGATAATTCAGCATGGCAGCATCTACACTTTGGAAGTCCCTGCCTATTGATAGGTGCCTTCGCTGTACTCTTTTCAGTGCCTGCTAAAAATATCCTTGTTTAGACGAGCCTAGCAGTTCGAAAGCACGTCAAAGTGCAAGTAGATAAATAGGTACCGCTTTGGCGGGAAGGTAAATGGCGTTTCTGTGTGCTGCTCTGGTTCGCCAGAAGCGGCTTAGTCATGCTGGCCACATGACCCGGAAGCTGTACGCCGGCTCCCTCGGCCAATAAAGTGAGATGAGTGCCGCAACCCCAGAGTTGTCCGCGACTGGACCTAACAGTCAGGGGTCCCTTTACCTTTACCCAGATTCTTAGAAAGTTGATGTGAATTTTAACCTGTCTCAGCATTCTAACTTCTTGTAGGTTTTAAGCTACTGTTGTAAATTTCCCTTGATTTTACTGTTTTACCTTTACGGGTTGTTTTTTTACCATGTATAAATCTTATGAAATAAAACGAACCAAAAAAAGTGTTTTTGTTTTGTTTTGCCGTGCTTTTTTTTTGAGTCGACCTTTGATATTTGTGTCTGTACCTCTGATATTTACATCAGGAAAATGGCATGGGAGGGGTTAAGCCTCTCCCCAAACCTCCTGCTCTGGTCAAACTCAGAGCCCTGAAAATCGGTGTGTTTTGGATTGTCACCAGCCAAGCGTTACTCAAAGTAGATGCATCAAAATTCACAGGCCAAAGTTAGTCACATCCATACATTTCACCCTTGGTTTTGGTCATTCTTTAAAAGCTATTCTGTGCATCTCAAATATCTTGAAACGAAAGGTAGTTTGAGAGCTGAGGATTAGGCAGAGGAAAGAAGCAAGAGAAAAGGCCAGCAAGAAACACATTTCTGATTCTGCCCAATTTTCATCCCAAAATGGGATATATAGCATATTTCCACATTTTTTCTCAGAGAAACCCATGATAAAGTGCTGACAGATATATGCCTAATATATACATTTTTGCTAAGCAACTTCTCCTAATATAATGCATATTTGCATCTCATCATTTTCACGAGTTTGCATTGCTTGGTTGGGGCAAGAAAAACAGAACGCAAAATTCGGAGAGGCGCAAATTTCAAAGAATGGTACATACTGAATCACATTTCTGCCCTGTCCCTAAGAGATGGCTCCCTGCCCGTGGTCACATCTCCCCTCTCCCCTCCTCCTTCATCCACGCATCACTGCCAAACTCTGGAACTGGAAGCTCTCGGGGCAGAGAATTCTCCTGCAGCTGTGCATTTAATGTGAGATTAACCTGTACCTAGAGTGCAGGGCCTCGGGGGTCTCTGGCCACCATCAGCTTCTCAAATTCCTCGTAGGTGACTTTCCCATCTGAGTTGGCGTCCACCTGTCTCATCATCTCCTCCACCTTCTCGTCCGTGAACGTCTCCCTCAGGTTGACCAGCACGTGCTCAAGCGAGCGCATGACGTCTCCCAGCTCCGACGAAGTGATCACCCCGTCGCCGTCCGCGTCAAAATGTGTGAAGGCCTCTTTGACCACGTCGAGTTCTGCTTCTGTGAACCGGTAAGCCATGGCGTGTCCGTCCTCTGCCCAGCACAACCTCTCTCTCTCTCTCGTCTCCAGGAAATCACTCTCTCGTTATCCCTGCTGAAATGGGAAAATCCAGCGTCTGCCGGAAGGAGGAGATGATGAAGGGCCGGATTGCTTCGGTCCACACCCTGGCCTGGAGAAGGATCTACTTGTTTGTGGTGAAACCAGTCAGAGGAACAGCTTTGCCCCAGTGTAGGTTGGGCTCTTATAGGGTTGGCAGACCAAGTGATGCTCCACTATCGACATCCATCATCTCTGCAACTTCAAGGAATGCAAATCGGGTGGAGCTCTCGCACGTCGCAACTTTCATCGCATTATCCGTCCGGTTTCGTGACATCAGCACAAAGCCCTGAGGTCTCCCTAGTTGATTTTGTGGGTGTGTGGGTGTTTATGTGATAAATGCACCGTTCGCATAGGTGTGAACCGTCCCTTATTTGGTGGGAAACTCCCTTATCCCAGCGCCGTGTCCCGCTGCTGTCCCTTATTGATGATGTCCCTTAAATTTCCTGGGTTTCAAAGGAAGCAGCTCCTCTCCCTCCCTCCCTGCCGGCCAGGGAGGAGGGAGGCTCCAGCTGTGTTGCTTGGCTGCGTTGCTCACCCAATAAGGAGTCAAAGAACGACTGGGGTGTGGAGCTTGCATGCCTTGTGCCAATCAAATCGGCCGTGTTGCCTAGGGACTCGCCTTTGCTCAGCGCTTCCCAGCGGAGAGGCGACGGTGGTTTTCCTTGCTGCATCCCCTTTGCCGGGTTGCTGCGCTGTGGGAACCACCACTTGAGGCTTCATTTGGCTGCTGGCTGGGCTTTCTGCCTTTGGCTCAGAGGGACTCAGAAGTTGAACATAGCTGTGCCTGGAAAATCCCTTATTTTGGCTGCTGATCCCTTATTTTTGAGGCTGCTGGTCCCTTATTTTCAAATCTGTAAGTTGACAGCTGTGATAGGAACTTAGGAGTCGAACCGACGGTATTCGTCTCAGAGAATCGCAGAATTGCATTCTTTTTTGGTGTGGAAAGAATGCAGTCTGTCACTGAGCTACATAGTCCAAATATTAATCCTCCACACAGTGATTCTGCTGCAGATGCAACACATTTTCTCAACTCTCAAGAAGCACCGTTTTACTGACAGGGAAATGCAGTTCCCTTTCTAGCTAGTCCATTGCTATTGCTGATCCTTCACTCACAGTTTGGTGATGGACTTGACATCAGGTGTTTGGGGTTTTTTTAAAAGGATTGGGCAAATTCATGGAGGATTAGGCTACTGATGGTTGCTATGTGCAGAGGCAGTGTACCTTTCAGTGCCAGGTACTGATGGAATGCATTGGTTCCTTCACACCCTGAGATTCTAGGAAGCATCTGAGATGAAGAACAATGGACCTCTATAATTATGTCCTTATTGTAAGGACACATAATTATTTCCCTATTATGCTTTTTATAATTGCATCCTTATTATGACCACAATGTGAATTGTTGATCTCATCCACCCTCCTAGACCCATATTGGAAAGGGATATCACTGGTGACAACTTACATTGCCCTTCCTCCTGTCTGCAATAATCTGAGACCTTTAAGAATTTAATTTTAATTAAATTTTAATTAAATTTTCTGTTTTACAATTTAAGATACTCATTTTCACACCCTTAAAATACCAGTGACTTCCCTCCTTCTCTTTCCATGGTTCATTTTACATATCATAAATCCCGGCATATTTTACAGAAACTATACCATTCAGTATTCCATTATTACATCCATCATAACTTATTTACCCTATTGAATTTATCTTAATGCTGCCAGCGTTTTCAGCTGTACACAGTCATTTCCCATATATTCAATAAACGTTTTCCAATCTTCTCTAAACATATGTTCTTCTTGTTCGCTTATTCTATATATATTCTATATTCACTTATTCTGAGAAGCGCTGAGCAAAGGCAAGTCCCCAGGCAACGCGGCCGATTTGATTGGCACAAGGCATGCAAGCTCCACCCCCCAGTCGTTCTTAGTCTCCTTATTGGGTGAACAACGCAGCCAAGCAACCCAGTTGGAGCCTCCCTCCTCCCTGGCCGGCAGGGAGGGAGGGAGAGGAGCTGCTTCCTTTGAAACGTGGGGAATTTAAGGGACATCATCAGTAAGGGACAGCAGCGGGACACGGCGCTGGGATAAGGGAGTTTCCCACCAAATAAGGGACGCTTGACAGCTATGCGCCTGTGGCTACATCAAGCCAGTGCCCCCTCTATTCTAGCATCCCATTCCTACAGCAGCCAGCCACAAGTGGTGCCTGAGTGCAACAGCTCTTTGGAAGTTAGTGAATGAGCAACAAGGACACAGGGTAGTACCCAGAGATTGCCCTGCTCAGATTTGCCCTGTTGAAATTCTTTGATTCCTGCATTACAGGGGGCTGGATTGGAACTGCCCATCCAACTACAATTCTAGTTTCCCATGGCTAACTGTCTCCCATTCATTTAAGTGTGTCTGCCCTGAATGCAACTTGTTGTTGTTGAGTTGTTTAGTCGTGTCCAACTCTTCGTGACCCCCTGGACCAGAGCACGCCAGGCACTCCTGTCTTCCACTGCCTCCTGCAGTTTGGTCAAACTCATGCTGGTAGCTTCCAGAACACCATCCAACCATCTCGTCCTCTGTCGTCCCCTTCTCCTTGTGCCCTCCATCTTTCCCAACATCAGGGTCTTTTCCAGGGAGTCTTCTCTTCTCAGGAGGTGGCCGAAGTATTGGAGCCTCAGTTTCAGGATCTGTCCTTCCAGTGAGCACTCACGGCTGATTTCCTTCAGAATGGATAGGTTTGATCTTTTTGCAGTCCATGGGACTCTCAAGAGTCTCTTCCAGCACCAGAATTCAAAAGAATCCATTCTTTGGCGATCAGCCTTCTTGATGGTCCAGCTCTCACTTCCATGCAACTTAGATGGATATAATCCTCAGGAACAAAGGCAACTGAGTCCGGCCATTGGCCCACACGGACTGGCAGCAGCTCTCCAGGGTTTCAGGCCCCAGTCCTCCCCACCCCTGCCTGGTGATGCTGGTGGAATGGAGCTGGGATCTTCTGCACTCAAAGCGGATGCTCTGCCGCTTAGCTATGGAGACCTGCAGGATCAGGCCCGTGGCAGTGCAGCACCCTGTTCACGCAGCAGCCAACCAGACCCCTGTGGGAAACCCACGAGCAGGATTCGAACACAAGATCCCTCTTCAATGCTTGTTTAAATTACTGGATTGAGCTGAGATGACAAAGCTGACATGCCTAATCAGAGAAAAGCCGTTGTCAACATTTACTAAAGATGGGGGGGGGGATATTAATTATTTTTACACAAAAAAGAAAAATAAGTCGTTATATTTCGGGTTGAGGATTGAAGATAATGTTGCCATATAGAAAGTAGTTTTGCTGGCTGTTTGGATGTGCTGAATAATTTTTATATACAACTGACAGATGAAGAATCGGAAGTTCTCCCTTTTTTTTCTCTTTTCCTCTTGCTTTCTCTTTTCCCTTTTTTCCTTTTCTCCTTCCTCTATTTCCCTATTTTCTCTCTCTCTCTTTTTGGATTGTGTTTTTACTTAGATTAGGTTTCCAGTTTCGACAAAAAGAGATTTGGTCATAAATTTCGTATTCCGTTTTTCCCAAATCTGAATAAAACCAATTCAAAAATAGAATAAAAAAGAGTCGTCTCCCCCCCTGTGGATTCCAGGAACTGGCATTTAAAAGCACTGTTTGCTGCCTCTAGCAGTTTGAGAAGCCTCTCAAATTTGCTGAGTTGCAGAGAAATGGGGTGCAGGCGGCGCTTTGTCCAGTTTAATTGTCAAATTTCTCCTGCCCACTACACCACAAACCTTCCCAGGAGGAAAGGCTTCTGGCCAGGCAAAAGAAAAAGCGAGAGCACAGAGGACAGAAGTGAATGACTACTAAGGGAAAGTGCAATTTGTGGAGCTCCACGGAGCTCCCTGCGAATTAAACATGGAGTTCCACGAATTAGTGGTCATCATTGGCCACAGTAAAGTCTACAGGCCTGTGCCAGTACCTGCTGATGCCCATCCCTGTATCACCCTTGCTTCTCCTATTCCTCCTTTCCCTTCATTCACTCTCCAGTTGAGTTTTGGAACTGTAGGCACCTTGGGGCAGGGAACTGCGTCCCGCACCCCACCGCAAAGCAATGTACTGCCGTGAAAATTGCAATGGTTTGAAGCTTCTGGGAAATGATATTTAACGAGATGAAAAAGATGTTGAAATATACATTTATTAAGAAACCAGAAGCGTTTTTACTTGGCATTGTAGGAGATGGTATTAACAGACAGGATTCTAAGTTGTTTTTATATGCAATGACGGCGGCAAGAATATTATTGGCACAAAAATTGAAGTAAGAAGAACTACCGACGAAAGGACGAAATTGATGGACTATGCAGAATTAGATAAACTAACAGGAAGGATTCGAAACCTACAGGACCAGAGATTCTTAGAAGACTGGAGTAAATATATGAATTATTTGAAAAGTAATAGTAACGAACAGATTACGCTAGTAGGATTGCAAGAAGTTTTGTAAGGAGGACTATTTGAAAATATTACAAGTAAGATTATGAGGAGAATTATTAGTTAGTGATAATTAAGAGTAATAGAGAAATGAAGAAATGCAGAAGAACGGAAAATCATCAGAGGTGTTGACGGAAGTCAAAAACATTGTATAAGAAAAGCAGTTATGTTATATGAATGTTGGAAATGATATGTTAAAAAGCTAATAAAAAATATTTTGAAAAGAAAATTGCAATGGTTTGTTACCTAGGCCCTTCACTTCTCCATCATCACCCGCACAAACTCTTCGTAGTTGACTCTCCCGTCTCCGTCCACATCGGCCTCCTTGATCATCTCGTCCACTTCTTCGTCCGTCAGCTTCTCCCCCAGGTTGGTCATGACGTGGCGCAGCTCTGCCGTGCTGATGTAGCCGTTCCCGTCCTTGTCGAAGACCCGGAAGGCTTCCCGGATCTCCTCCTCGCTGTCAGAATCCTTCGACTGCTTGGCCATCAGCGAGAGGAACTCGGCAAAGTCCACCGTGCCGCTGCCATTGGCGTCCACCTGGTCGATCATGCTCTGCAGCTCTGCTTCGGTGGGGTTGTGGCCCAGGGAGCGCATGACGGTGCCCAGCTCCTTGGTGGTGATGGCCCCGTCGCCATCTTTGTCAAAGAGCGAGAAGGCCTCTTTGTACTCGGTGAGTTGCTCCTCCGTGAGCCGCTGAGCCATGCTGCTGCCTCCAATCTCACAACAAGCAACCTCGCGCGCGCTCTCTCTCTCTCTCAGTTGTGATCCCTGCCGAAACAGGAAAAGCTAGCACGGTGTAGGGGCGTTGAGTGATGTCAGCCCACACCCTCATTCGTGGCCTAAGGCCTGGCTTTAGATCTTGCTCCTTTCTGGAGAAACCTGCTGAGAAGATAGACTCATCAGGCGTGGTCTGATGCCAGAGATGGAAGGTGCTCCTCAGGGAGGGGCCATAGCTCAGTGAGAAGATCATCTGCCTAGCAAGCAGAAGGTGTCAGGTTCAGTTCCCACTGACATCTCCGGGAAGGGCTGAGAGGGACTCCTTTGAGCTAAAAGCACCGGTTAGTTACTGTGACTGGCCATAGTTCTAGGATCATAGAACTGTAGAGTTGGAACGGCTCTTGAGGGCCATCTAGTCCAAGCCCTTGCAATGCAGGAATCTCAATAATAATAATAATAATAATAATAATAATAATTTATTATTTGTACCCCGCCCATCTGGCTGGGATTCCCCAGCCACTCTGGACGGCTTCCAACAAAGACCCAAAATACACTAAGATGTCACACATTAAAAACTTCCCTGAACAGGGCTGCCTTCAGATGTCTTCTGAATGTCAGGTAGTTGTTTATCTCTTTGACATCTGGTGGGAGGGTGTTCCACAGGGCAGGTGCCACCACCAAAAAGGCCCTCTGCCTGGTTCCCTGTAGCTTTGCTTCTCACAATGAGGGAACCACCAGAAGGCCCTCGGCGCTGGACCTCAGGGTCCGGGCAGAATGATGGTGGTGGAGACGCTCCTTCAGGTATACTGGGTCGAGGCTAAGCTGAACAATATAACAAAACACGACGGCCAATAACAATGGCACTAAACACTATTTATAGACTAATGCAAATGGTCAGAAATTGCAACCAAAGTCTCTAAATCTTCTTCCCCAGTCGCGGTAGAATAATTCAAAAGTTCGATATATACGTAATCTGTCACCGAATATTGCCAGAACAGAGTTTCCAGATAACCAATCTGTTTCGCTCAATGCTTCATCAGCCTATCTTGATCTATTCTTCACCAGCCAGACTTGTAAGAAGTAATATGAGAAGGATGAAGCTTTATTTCTTTACAAGACAATCTTGCAGTATCATATGAGCACTGATCCAGAGCATATTTTCTACAGCGTTTATATTTGCTTACATATAAGATTGGCAAAGAAGCAAAGCAGCTCGTAAGCCTGATCTTTATTGAACTGTTGCAACAGGGTGCTCCCCTCACACGCAGGAAAGGAGGAGGACCCCGAACCAAGGTGTGCCTGCCCTTATATAGACATTTTAAATTGCCCGCCCTGGAGTCCAAGACCACCCCCAGAAACATCAAAGCTACATCACAGAAAAGGTGGTCTACAGCAGAAATCTGAGTGGGTTGTTTATCTCTTGTCTGGCAAGTTACCTGTTAATGCTTACTTGATTGGATACCCTGTGGAGCCTGGCCAGTCTTTTGTAATGATGAATACTTAATTCCTGGGCCAGGTCATAAAGGTAAAGGGACCCCTGACCATTAGGTCCAGTCGTGGCCGACTCTGGGGTTGCGGCGCTCATCTCGCTTTACTGGCCAAGGGAGCCGGCGTACAGCTTCCGGGTCATGTGGCCAGCATGACTAAGCCGCTTCTGGCGAACCAGAGCAGCGCACGGAAACGTTTACCTTCCCGCCGGAGCGGTACCTATTTATCTACTTGCACTATGGTCATAGGCTCACCCTATTCAAACACAGACATACCCTTAAGACAGGATTTGTGAAGGAAAAGACAATGGGGAGGCTTTTCCATTTGACTTTGCAAACATTTGGTCAGTTTGGGAGTCAAAAACAGTTCCAGGGCTGTTTTCCTGTGCTGCTTCAGACATGTGGTTTATATGTTTATGTAGATGTTTGCTTGGTACATTTATTATATATATAATACCTTTTTTTTATTATTTCACATGGGAACCCGCCCCCCCCCCAATTGTCTGCTACTCTTCTGATGACTTAAACATTCTGTTTTCCCAAAGCAAGAGAACTACTCCGTCAAGAGGGGAAGAGGCAAGGAGGAACATCCGAAGGAAAACAAAGCCGCTTCACATCATATGATTCCAGCACTCCACCCCTCCGTTACACGGGAAAACGCTTTGGGCTGTGTGGAAATTTCCAGGGGCAGAGACCCCCCTGTGACGCAGTGTTTTGTTTGTTTGTCTGTTTGCTTTCCCAACCCCTCCACCTAGGAGCAAATCTCTGAAGCAAGCTGCAAAGGGTTTGTTGCAGGAATTTATGTATAGGTGGGGGGGGGTTGCCCCTCCAGCAGATATCATGCGCATGCAGCCCACTACCAAAATCAGCACCATCACTTTTGTGACTTTTGTGATTTGTCCCCACAAAACACTTCATCACAGTTTCTTCCTATCTATTCAAAGGGCCTTTGCTGCATGATACAGATGTAAGAATTCACTGATAAATGTCTCTATGTACTGGCTCACTGGGAAAACTTCAGAAATTCATATAGACATGTGAGCTCAGCTACCCAGCAGCCCCTCTGCCTGAGTGATAATCCCTGGCATCCTGATACCTGAGCGCCATACAGGTAGCCATTCCAGAAAGAACCAACCCAGATGAAGACAAAAGGGTGTGATTAACTTGGCTGGGAAACAGGGAAATGTAAATATCTCTTTTGTTACACTTGATGGGTGTTTGGTGGAGGGCAAGGGGAACCATGGGGCAGGGTCCAGGATGCTCAGATTACTGCCACCAGACCTCCCCTTTCATGATGTAACCATGATGTATTAGTGATGTAGTTTGGGGGGGGGGGGGCGTAACATGGGGATTCTCTTTTGTTTGGGGCTTCCATCTTGTTCCACCTTGTGGCAGGTGGGAGTCCTGTCGCGACAGTCTTCAATAAAGACCAAGCCTACCGGCTGCTGTTTTGCTCTGGTATTCCTGGCTGGTGTCCTTGTTTCTTGTCCAAGGGAGCCCTCAGATTTCTCCGTTAACAGGTTTCAGATCAGCAACTCCTGAGGATCAGGCAGGTTCAGGCTAAGGTTGCCAACTTTCAAATCAGCTTGGGCAGCTGCGTCTTTCGCAGCAGTTTGAACAGCAGGGATTTCACAGCACAGGTGTTAAGTGCCTCTCACCCCTGGGAAATTGCCTGGGAGGGAACACAACCCTCTGATAGAGTTTCTCCACCCAGCTTAAGCAACAGTGATGGATCTCTTCCTGATAAACACCACTGTGGACTCATTCACCCTCGTGGCAGAGCTGGGCCTGTAACTCTCTGCTGTAACAGGACTTCACATGTTCCTGGAACGGATCCTGGCACTGGACCAGTTTCCGTGGCTCAAGATCTCAATATAAGCCTTTACATACAAGCAGGATTCCCCCTGCCTCTGTGCTATTGTTTTCCATTATTACTCACTTCTACAGTATTTCTCTCCGTAGTGTATTTTGAGCCTGAACTGCGCTTGCAATTCTGCAGGGGTCTCTTTTTCAAGAAACAAAACCAAGGCGTTGTCTGTGTCGCTGACAACCCAAGAAGAATCCGCCTTTATTTCCCCGTGAAGCCTTGATGCAGAAATATCACGCACACAGCGCCTGCGTTGTTCAGTTTCACTTCTTTTCTCGCTGTTCCGAGGCACTCGGAGGACGAAGATGACTCACTTCTAAACAGGATGTGACCCTTGCCAACACACTTTGCCTTCGGTTTCCAGTTCAGACTCTTCGTTTCGTTTTGGTGCCGTGTCCAGTAAGTAGCTGGAGACAAGGACGCTGAGGTCTCCGTCAAGCTCATGCAATCTGTTATAAGAATTTTAAGGTCTTAGATATGTAATAAATGTCCATAAATGTACCAAGCAAACACGTACATAAATATATAAACCACATGTCTGGAGCAGCACAGGAAGACTGTCCTGAAGCCATTTTGACTCGCAAACTGACCAAATGTTTTCTCTGCAAGGAGGGAGGGGGTGAGGGAACCTTTCCATTGTCTCAGGAATTGGGAAATCACCATCTCAAAGGAATGGCCAGACTACCAGGAAAGGCAATCAGATAAGGCATTATCAGCCTTCTTTATGGTCCAGCTCTCACTTCCATACATCACTACTGGGAAAACCATAGCTTTAACTATACAGTATGGACTTTTGTCGGCAAGGTGATGTCTCCGCTTTTTAAGATGCTATCTAGGTTTCCACTGCGGCGGGAAGGTAAACGGCCTTTCCGTGCGCTCTGGTTTCCATCACGGGGTTCCATTGCACCAGAAGCGGTTTAGTCCTGCTGGCCACATGACCCGGAAAGCTGTCTGTGGACAAACGCCAGCTCCCTCAGCCTGAAACGAGATAAGCACCGCAACCCCAGAGTCGCCACTGATTTTACTTTTACCTCACTGGGTGACCTTGCACCAGCCATTGCCTCTCAGCCTAACCTAAGGAGTAAACCCTACACAAATCTGGAGTCCCTGAGAAGATTGGATGACGCCTTGTACGCCTCCTTCCAGCAACTCCTGCAGCCCAGCTGGTGCCAAACGTCTTGCTCTGCTTTCCTTTGGACCACATCAGCCAGGTCGAGATGGGGGTCATGTCATCTGGGCAGCCCAGGACCTCCAGACACACTGCCCAGGCTTGCACCCCCGGGAGGTCACTGATGCAGCGGTTTGACTTCACCCCCAGAGGTGCACTCCATTGCCTCTCAAGACAGACGGATGCCAACCACAACAACTCTGAGTTGTCTACTACACCTTGTTTGGGGAAACTCACACTACCTTTTCCCCCTGTGCCCTGGATTTAGGACAAAGACTGGCTTTGCCATTTCAAAGAACCCTAGAATGGCAGAGTTGGAAGGGAACCCGTATTAAGTATAGTAGATTTAATTGACACAGAAATGGAAAATGTATGTGTATTAAAGGTAAAGGGACCCCTGACCATTAGGTCCAGTCGTGGACGACTCTGGGGTTGCGGCGCTCATCTCGCTTTATTGGTCGAGGGAGTCGGCGTACAGCTTCTGGGTCATGTGGCCAGCATGACCAAGCCGCTTCTGGCGAACCAGAGCAGCATATGAAAACGCCGTTTACCTTCCCACTGGAGTGGTACCTATTTATCTACTTGCAGTTTTGACGTGCTTTCGAACTGCTAGGTTGTCAGGAGCAGGGACCGAGCAACGGGAGCTCACCCCGTCGTGGGGATTTGAACCACCGACCTTCTGATCGGCAAGTCCTAGGCTCTGTGGTTTAACCCACAGCGCCACACCTTTATATGTGTATTAATGCAGGTTGAAAATGGAAAATGGCTGTGTGAATA